GCCCAAGTGTCCTCGGGCCAGCCGACGCTTCTGTGAAGGAGGCTGGCCTAGCCCTCCCTGGAGCCCGGAAATGCCTGTCCAGAAGGGCTCCACCTTTTGCTTCTTTGAGAAGCCGCCATGGCTAGTGGGTGCCACTACCCTAGCTAGTTGAGGTCCAGAAGCAGCTATGAGACCTGTGCCACAGCCTGGAAGAGACGTGGCACAGAGTCAAGGATGGGATCAGAAAGGGAAGAGGGCAAGTGCCCTGCAGACTGCAGTTCACAGGGTGTGCTTTTCCCAGGGCACTAGCTGGGCTGTGCACGTACCACTGAATGATTTCCGCGATCTGAGCTTCCCAGTGGGCAACCGACTCCTTTTTGGCTGCCAGATCCTGCAGTTCATCCTCCAGCTGCCTGTTTTGAGCTGTGAGTTTATCCACAAAGGAACAAAGCTGAAATGACAAAATTTCACCATACCACTTGTTAATTTGGCATCCTTTAAGTATCTTAGCACTATTAACACTGGAAGTGCTTTAGAAGATTTGGAACATTTTCTTTATGAGAATTTCCCAGACTAAGTTCATGGTATGGATTTCTAGATTGTATCTAACTTAAGTCATATTTCAATTTGAATCTAAACCTACAACTGCTAGAGCTAGTGATTATACATAATTATACCATTTAACTTAGTAAAAACATCCTATTTAAAAGACCAAACATACTACTACACTTAAAAGTTAAAATATATAGCCAGGTATAGTGGTTCATGCCTGTAATCCCAGCACTTGGGAGGTAGAGGCAGAAGGATAGCTTGAGCCCAGGAGTTCAAAAGCAGCCTGGGTGACACAGTGAGGCCTTGTCTTTACAAAAAAATAAAACAAAAATTAGCCAGGCATGGTGGCACATGCCTGTGGTCTCAGCTACTCAGGAGGCTAAGGCAAAAGGCTTGGCTGAGCCAAAAAGGCTGAGGCTGTGGTGAGACACGATTGTGCCACTGCACTCCAGCCTGGGTGACAGAAGTGAACCCCGATTCTAAAATAAAATAAGATAAATAAAGTAAAATAAAATAAAGTCGTGCATTGTGTAATGTTCTAAGGATATGTTCCTGAATGTGCTCTTGTGTGAGCACCATAGAGTGTCCTACGCAATCCCAGGTGGTACAGCCCATGGCACTGGGACTACGGCACAACCTGTTGCTTCTGGGCTACAAACAGGAGCAGCATGTTGCTGTTTGAGCTGTAATACAATGGTAAGTAAACTGTACATCCCTCTAAACACAGGAAAGGCACAGTACAAATATGGTACTGTAATCGTATAGGACCACTGTCGTGATGCGATCTATCACTGACTGAAACATTGTTATGTGGCATATCTGTTTTAAAAAGACACCAAACTTCCATGAATTATGAATGAAAAATTACAACTTCCACACCCAGCAATAACTCAGTTATTTTAAATTACCTTTTCATTTTCAGCAGTTAGCTTCTTGTTTTCATCAAACAGCATTGCTCTTTCCCGCTCATATTTGTCTTTTATTGTCCCTACTGCCTCCTCCATCTCATTATGCCTGAGAAGGTGAGGAAGAGACCATTTTAAAGTCTGCACCTCTGTTGACATTCACATCTGCGGGTGGGTCTGAGGTTCCAGATCCACACCAAGGCGCTCATGGAAACCTACCGTTCCCGTTTTGCCTTTTCCAACTTGTCTTTCAGCATCAGGATCTCCTTCTGCAGGGCCAGCTGGTGGCTCTCTGAATCATGCACCTCCTTCTTCACATTTTTCACTTCCAGCACGTGGGAGGCCTCACGTCTGACCAACTCCTCTTCATAAAATAAGACTTTCTTCTCAAGCTCAGATTTTATCTTTGAAATCTCCTGCTGATGCTCTAAGGTGGCAGCTGGTCCCCGGCCTCCTTGCTTCATCTGAAGACAAAGATGAAAACAAGCTAACGAATCTGCATGTCCTCCCTCGAAGATCACACTGTCCTTTTATCCCCAGCTCGTGCAGGCACCTTCCCAGTGACAGTTCTCGTGCTACGACCACGCCAGGTGACCTGGCTGACCTGCATCATGTGATACAGATTTCAGAGGATGATAGCGGCTGTCTTGCAGAGTGTTGTGCCCAGATCTGCTTGGGACCCCAGAGCCTCCAACCTACACAGGTGTGACCTTGTGCTGTTCCCTTCTGGTGACTGTGATGATATCCAAGGTCTCTGCTCTTGTGGGGAGGGGGTGCTGGCGGCAACCCAGTGAACTAGCGAGCAAGATGCTAACACAGGAAGTATTTTTTTTTTTTTGAGTTGGAGTCTCACTCCGTCGCCCAGACTGGAGTGCAGTGGCCACTCCCGGCCACCGCAGCCTCGACCTGCTGGGCTCCAGCGATGCTTCCGCTTCAGCCTTTCGAGTAGCTGGAACTACAGGCGCGCGCTACCACGCCTGGCTGATTTTTTGAATTACTGTAGAGATGAGGTCTCACCAAGTTGCCCAGGCGGGTCTCGAACCCGCGGGCTCAGGCAATCCACTCACCTCAGCCTCCCAAAGCACGGGATTACAGGCTGAGTCACCGAACCTGGCTCACAGGCAGTATTGTAAGGAATGGGGGGCACACCAGGGATGGCTGGGGCAATCTTTTTGAGGTTGTGACCTACTAAGTGAGGTGTCAGGTTAGGGGCAAAGAACAGGGCACAGGCGGGTGAAGAGGAAGCAAGGGGGACTGTTGTGCTGTGGCTGGAGGAGCTGGGCAGAGAGATGTGTGGGAAAGGTGCTGCCAGGTAGGATCAGGCAGGAGTGTGGCTGCTGGATGGCTGTGTAAGCCCTGATCGCAGAAGCTTCGTGCCCTCATAAGCCTACTCTGGTTGCCATGTGGAGGGACGGGCAGAGGGCACTGGGGTGCTGAAGTCCAGGCAAGCCGTGCTGCTGATGGCTGGACCAGGGAGCAGAGAAGACAATGGAGAAGAACAGACATCTTGGGCACACACACTGGAGAAAGAGCTGATGAACCCACCAAAGTGCCAGGGAGAGTAATGACCCATACATCCACCTCACAAATATGGAAACACAGACCCAGGAGACCCGTCGCTCACCCCACCCATATCCAGTCACCATGGTGTTCTCCATGTGTTCCCTCCCTGGTCTCCTTGCTGCCCTCTGGCCCTACCAGCCAGCCCCTGATGGATGACCAGCCCAACTCTTCCCTGTTGGCACCAGGTCATGGGGCTTTGAAGAGCTTTTATAAAACTGAACTCTGCTGAGTTTAGAAAACCAGAATAGGAAAGAGGACATGACCTGACTGGACTGAACCAGGACACGAACTGATTAGATGTTACTTTGTTAGGACTTACCATGAATTGTTTGAAATTTTTATACAAGGAAGGAAAGAAAGGAACTTGGCTTTTTTATGTCTTGTCTCCCACTCTCCAATCCGGGTCTGCCCTGGAACCACCCCAAGAGGCACTCAGCTCCAACCCACACACCAAGAGATAATTTCCACATGATGGTGTTAATGAGGGCAGGAAGTTTCCCCTCCCAGTAAGAGTGAAGACCCCGTCCCCAGCACTACCTTGAGGGCCTCAAGCTCACTTTCTATTTGCTTGGAGAAGTTCTCGCTGTGCTCACGAAGCTTGCGCTCCTTTGAACCCTCAGCAACGGCATCCTCTAGCTGAGCTTCCAGCTGCAAGAGAAGATCCACTTTCTAGTTAACACAAAGCAAGCACTGCTTTGCCAGTCAGAGCTTCACCAGGGACCCCTGAGAGAACAGAGCCTTAAAGTCCTTTGTATTTCTTCACATTTCATTAAATTTATCACAAATTAAAGTTGGAGAAAAACACCTCAGGGCTTAACTGGAATGGCTGGCCAGCAACAAAACAAGCTTAAATTCTAATTTAAATGGAAACTCTGAGATTAAATTTCAAGAAAAGATACTGGTTTGTGAAAACAAGTACATCTATCTATAGACCACTGATTCGTATTTTTTAAATGGACAATTTCAGACACACAAAAGAAGACAGTAGAATAATGAATTCCATGATCCTGTCACCCAGCTCTGACAGCGAGCAACTGGAGCCAAGCTTGCTTCATCTACTATATGCCTGTGCCCAAATCATCTGACAGCAGATCCCAGCCAGGCATGGTGACTCATGCCAGCAATCCCAGCACTTTGGGAGGCCAAGGTGTGAAGACTGCCTGAGTCCAGGAGTTCAAGACCAGCCTGGGCAACTTGGTGAGACTTTGTCTCTACAATAAACACAGTGGCACCCACTGTGTTTCCAGCTACTTGGAAAGTTGAAGCAGAAGCATCACCTGAGCCCAGCTCGAGAGTTTGGTAACCATGATTGTGCCACTGCACTTCAGCCTGGGTGACAGAGTGAGAATCAGCTAAAAAAAAAAGCAGATCCTAGCTCACATATCATTTGATTCGTATTTGAAATGATGTATTTTTTAACATTTTTAATTAAATTTATTTTTAGAGAATAGGGTCTTACTTTGTGGCCCAGGTTGAAATGCAGTGATATAATCACAACTCACTGTAGCCTCAAACTCCTGGGCTCAGGCAATCCTCCCACCTCAGCCTCCCAAGTAGCTGGAATTTATAGGCGTGTCACAATGCCTGGTTACTTTAAAATTGTTTTTGTAGAGACAGGGTCTTGCTATGTTGCCCAGACTGGTGTCAAAACTCCTGGGCTCAAGCAATCCTCTTGCCTCAGTTTCCCAAAGTGCTGGGATTATAGGTATGAGCCACCACACCCAGCCAGGAATGGTAATTCTTAATTAGAGGCATCATTAACTTGAGTGTAATTGGCTGCAACTACAAATATATTTGGGTTGCAAAATAAGCTAAGAAAAAAATAGGTATTTTGAAGCTAAATGGCAAAGAATCCTGAAGCCGGAAGGATAAGAGCAAGTGCTCCCAGGTCTTTTCGTTCACAGAACTTTTTCACAGAATTTTAAACTAAGCACTGCTTCAAATATGTTACCCGTCAGCAGCAGCACATTCAGAAAAGGACAACAGCTCTCACGGTGCTGGGGTGTGCAAGGCCCTTCTTTTCCTATCAGCTATGTGCAGGGCCAGGCTTTCTTCATATCCTTCATCCAAAACAGCACATCACAAGAGACTGAGAGCAGGGGCAGATATGAGAACCCAGGGGTCTTCTCTTCAGTCAGATAGTAAAGAAAAGTACAAAATGTAAAAAATGCCAATCTCATTAAATTTTTAAAGAAATACTTTTCATTAAAAATGTTATTGATGTTAATTGTTACTGATGTAATGTGTTTTCGCTATACTGAAAAAATTTGTTTTAATTTCTACATGGTACACTTACTGAGCAGTGTAATGACCTAACAGAAGCCCTCTGGGTGCTCAGTAATTCCTCCAGAGTCCAGGAGCGCTGAGGCCAGGAAGTGTGAGACGTGCGGCCCCAGCGACTGCCTGGACCTACCGGAGGCCATGATCTAGCTTTCTCCTCCCACTTGCCCCACGTGGACCACAGGTGCTATTTTCTTAAAGGAAGTTTTTAAAAAGTAGGATTAATCAAGAACCCCTTTTAATAATTTCACAAATAGATCTGAGGGATGAGAACGACAGAATAAACACTTGGCAGATTAACTTACTTGCTTCACATAAAATGTAAGATCCACTTACAAGGAACTTACATATGGCAGTCCAAGTTTTCAGCATTTTATTAAGATCATACAGAAGTCTGATCTAAAAAGCTACCTCTTTCCTGGACTTCTCAGATTTGCGGATTTCCTGCCTCATGGAGTCAATTTTCTGCATGGCCACTTCCATCTCCTCCTCCTTGTCCCGGAGCTGCCGGGACACCTTCTGCTTCTGGGAGCGGAGCTCAGCCATGCGCTCATTGAGCTCCGAGAACTCCTGCAGGGCCAGCTTTCGCTGCTGGTGGGCATCTTTGAGTTCTTTGGCCTGGGATTTCAGTCGCTCTGAAGCTTCAACTAATTGCTGAACAAAAACAATTGTAGATGTTTTACATTTGCTTAACAAAGGTCTGGAAGGCTAGAGGTTCAATCTTCCACTATGTTCAAGAGTGACACGTGACGGCCAACGCTGGAGAGAGGTGACAGCCACAGATCCAAGATTCACCTTCTTGGAAAAAGCCCTTTGCTCTGCCCCAACCTGGCCAACATGCAATGGGAACACCACCTGGGCTCTGAGCACCAACTCCACCCAGAAAGACCCTGCCACCATGTGGAGCCTACAGCAAGACGCCTGACTCTGTGAAGCCAACTCTGCCACATCATCCACAGAAGCATGGGGCACTCAATCTAGTCACCTAAATATAAGCAGAGTCAGAAAAGAACATGTGCACATGAAAATGCTGAAGACTTCAGAGTGAAGAACTGTATACCAACAATCGCTGCACGGCTGACTCTTCACTAGGCTGAAGTCTGGATGCTGGTTGTCCCCTGGGTGGAGAGCCACAAATGGGACTTACCCTCAGACCAGCAGCACTGATCCACCTCACCACTGCCCAAACCAACCCTGACCTCCCGCAGCTAACTTGTTAACAATCTGGCTACTGAGTCACTGTCACAACTACTGGTCTGAGACTGAAAGTAGCAAGACCTGGAGCTGCCCAGCAGGGCAGCTGCCCCGAGGGAGGGGAGGCCTCCCCAGCCTCGCTGGGACCAGCTCAGAGTTACCCTGACCGCATCAAGCATGAGAGGTCACATGCCCCTACTGCACTTCTAGACAAGCCAATGCAGGGGATGTGGCATCACAGATGATCTTAAGAAACAATTTGGGTTTGAAATCTGGCTCATTTTAGAGAAAAGATCACAAACTATAGGCTCAAGGACTTACGTGTATAAGTGAGTGCATCTGAGAAAACAGTAACCTAATTGTGCGACTAATATACTAGTATTTGAGCACAAAGTTTCACACATCTTTCTGTGAAATGTCCTCATCTCAGAAGCTGGAGGATAGGGGGAGAGGGAGGATGATGGCTGCAAAGGGCAGGGCCTGGAGGCCCCACGACTGGGGGCCAAGCCCAACCCCAACAGAGGGCTGAGCAGCCCTGGGCACAGCCTGGCCCTGGGGCCGGCTTGTCCATGTCCTGCGTGCAGCCTGGGGACAGTCCATAAGCCAGAGTCAGGAGGTCTTGAAGTGCCTGCACAAATGCAGCCTCACAGAACTCGCAGGGCCATCTAAGCCCTTTTCCCTTGAGGTTGAGCCCGCCCACCTTGTGGAGGGCCTCCTTCTCCCACCACTCAAGCCCCTCACACGGAGCAAGCCGCCCACCTTGTGGAGGTCCTCCTTCTCCTGCCGCATCACGCGGTACTGCTTCTCCAGCCCCCTCAGCCGCTGTGTGGAATCCTCACGCTCTTGGCGAAGGGCCACTGTGTCCTCAAGTTGTCGCTCGAGCCTGTTTGAATCTGGGCAAAAGAGGAAATTAACTGTGCTCCTTCATGTGCTATGACTTGGTGTGCAAACTTGGTGTTAGCTGACATACAGGAAATCATTTACTAGCTCGCAGCACTCTGGTCATTCAGAAGGTTTTTCACTTACACACACACACACACATGCAAGTCATGGGCATGGCTACCACTGCAGTTTGCAGGAGCCAGGCTCACAAACCCTATTCTGATCACGTGTGACCACTCTCTCCCAGGGACTTGAGCCTTGGGGTGGCACGCACCTGTCTGCTTCAGTCCCTCTAACTGGTATAACCAGCAGTGCCTGGCCCTTTCTCAGTGTGCAACAAAGGTTTTAGTGAATAACCAGCTCAATCAAAGCTCTTTTCTGCATCAGGATGTCGGGGTTCCAGACAGGAAATGCAGAGAAGGTAACAGACTCTGAGTGTGATGTGGAGATGTGAATCAGCAGCAGACCAGTCCATGTGAGATGAAGGGTGAAGGTTTAAAAGCAAGCCCAGTCTTTAGGGAGCTTTGATAACCTAAAACCCACCAAGGAGAGGTGGTGACAGTAACTCTAGCACCTAAAATGCCTAAACGCAGGCACAGTCACTGATGAAAGCTGCAGAAGGAAAAAGCAGCTCTAGCAACTGTCTCAGAGCTGCAAAGAAGAAAATTACGACACAGAAACACAGACTAGTCTGAAAGTTTCTACATAAGTTGGCAGGGATTGATTCCCACTGGTAACTATAAAAGTATATTAATAGAACCAAACAAGTTGGGGAAAGTAATTTTAAACATACTGACAAAATATCAGAACTCAAATAGGTTCTTTTTCTGCTTTTCTACCTTATGAAAAGGACTCTGAAGATTGCCTTTTAAGAACAGAGACGAAGCCGCTACACTTTATTTAAACCTTACCTGCAATTTTATTCTTCAGGCGTTCAATTTCTTCATTCAACCTTTTTATTTCCTTATCCCGGTTTGCATTGCCCAGAGTCCGAGAGGAGCCGTGAAGGGACTGCACAGTCTGGGTAGACTCTGGGGGAGGAAGACTGCATGAGCCCAGGCCCACCCCACCACCCAGCCCAGCCCCACCCACCCCATGCCACTGCTGCCCCACCTTGCAGCTTCCTGCTGAGCTCCAGCTTCTCCTGCTCCAGTCTCCGGATCCTCCGCTCGTAAGCCTCGATCTGCAGGCTGTTCTCCAAGTCCCGCTGCACGTCCTCATCTTTGGTTAATGTGTTGGACTGCATGATGCTCTTCAGAGAGCCTCGGTCAGAAAAACAGCTGCAAAATAAAGCAACAGGTTTCTCTGACTTACTGAGAATTTACAGTGATTTCATTAGCATTTAAAAACTTCCTGGGGTGAAAGATACTCTTTTTAAATTGGCAAACAAAAATACCTTTGAAAAGACTTTATTGTTTACAGAGCCAAAGTTAGACAAGAGCCTTCCTTACTGCAAGTGACTGGATGGTCAACAGGACACTGAAAAGGGCACTCCCTCACCACTAGTCAAAGAAAATGCCTCTGCAAAGGAGGAGAAACAGTACTTCTAAACCATCACTTGCACCTGAAATGCTACAACAGAAGGCATTTTGTGTACAGTAAGGCTTCGGGCAGCACAGCTCTTATATGGAGGACAGCAGTGTGCACGGGCCATCGAGAGCTTCCTGGTTCAGTCACTGACTGGCCGAACATTCAGCTCCATCCCCCTGTAAGGCTCATCTTCTCCCTTGCAGACTGAACCACAACTCTCGCACCCTGACCATGCATGGCTAAGCCACTCACCAAGGACCACGCATTCTAGTCACATCCAAGATGGTACTCACATTTAACAACTTAATTCTTGGACTGTTTCAAGTGTTATTTATTTCTGCTTAGTTCTTTATGTAACAGCAACATCAGGAAAACCTTTTGTACTCCTACACTGAGTCCAATAAAGGCAGCCAATGCCCTTCACAGAAGGGGCTGGCCAGTGCTTCTCCAAGGGTAGTCTGAGAGTGCTGGGCCATTCCTGCCCTGTGGGGTCTGTGATATGAGGGGATCCCTGGGCTAATCCTATCAAACTAGAGCCGTGGCAGGTGGGGCTGGGATCCACAAGTGTGACAAGCACTCGGTGAGCTGGCAGGTACTGGAAAGGTCAATAGTCTCTGCACTTGGGGTCAATAAATAAATAAGTCCATGTCGAACACTTCCTGTGGGCCAAAAGGTATCAGTTGTCCCCCCTGCTTAACTGCTGTTTAACCCTGGCAGCTCATACCAAAAAACATTTTCTACAAGCTTGAGCATAAGTATGGGGACACCGCTCTCTTGAAGAAATTTTCAACTTAGGTCTCAGCTGCCAGAAGATGCCCTGAATAAGATTCTGTGACCTTTCTTCAGAAGCTGTGGGAGTTTCTTTCTAACTCCTCCCTCTTGGCCCCAGTTTCCTTCTAAAATCAAGGTGGAATACCTCAGGTGATACAACTTTGCAGAGGACAGAGACCAACAGGCACACACATGGCCTGGGCACCACAGGGCCGGAGCTAAAACTATGTCCTCACGAAAGTAAGCAGAGCACTCTGAGGAATGATGGCTCTCACCTGAGCATGCATGGAAGCTGCTACTACCAGCTGCGGTATTGACCATTATAGCCGGTACTGCCAGCCTCTAGGTCAGGGCTCAGCAAACTACCGTTTGTGGGCCAAATTCTACCCACAGCCTGTTTTTGCACTGTCCATGAGCTAAGAATGGTTTTAATATTTTAAAGGTTGTTTAAAAAGAATACACAGCCGGGCTCGGTGGCTCAGCCTGTAATCCCGCGCCTTTGGGAGGCTGAGGTGAGTGGATTGCCTGAGCCCGCGGGTTCAAGACCCGCCTGGGCAGCGAGACCTCATCTCTACAATAAATCAAAAAATCAGCCAGGTATGGTAGCGCAT